TCTATCTGATGAGGATTTTTAAGTGACATAGAATCTATTACAAATTAGAAAAATAGGTTTTTGAATACTAAATATAAATAGATGGCACTAATTCTATGGTAGGTATGGCTCAGAAGCTGCGAATACTTTAATTCAATGTTTTAACTATTTTTGTACTATTGTGCTTTTCCAAAAAGTATCCAAATAGATATTGTTACAAGGCATTGCTATGTGTCTAGTAAACATGCAACTGGCATTTCAATATTACCGATGAGTTCATGTATGTAATACAGTTCTAAAGAAAAGGTCCACAAAAAAGGTTTATGTATATTCTGAATCTGTTTTAAGACTCAGATGAAAAGTCTAAATATTCTTACTTTGGTCAAAAATTATTTCAAAACATTAGACTTCCAAAAATATTATGATATTTAATAATTTTATCAAAGGTAAGATGAAATGCATTAAGTATGATTTTTTAAATGAAATGAATGTCCTTTTTGGATAAATACTTTTTAGTTATATTTATAAATCATGATTAGGATACATTCTTCTAAGTTTTGTCACATATAAAAAGTTAGCTCTAGTTTGGCATAGTACACATAAATAAGATGCTAGTCTTTCAAGTTCCGTACTATTATATATGAATTATATATTAGAATAACAGATTTAATCTATCCTGTATGTTTACCAATATTCAAATACATTTTTTCATGCAATGTTTCATATTAACTACAGATATACATTTTATAAACTTGAATATTGGGGGCAAATGACTTTTTAAAAATTCCTATATAGTCATATTAAACATGCATATTGACATTTAATAACAGCCACTTGATTTAATGATTAACTGTAGAGATCATAACAAACTGTAAGTCAGTCATTTCCGTGAATGGACTCTCTATGGGTGTCACACGGCCTCTCAAAGCCACTCTAAATATCCTCACTGAAACTGTTACTGACTAATGTGCTACATTTTAAAGCCAAATTGGGTTTTCACTCCTCTCCTGCCAAGCTAACAAGAGAGAATGTTTCCTATTGCAAACTGCAGGCTTAACTACAAACCCATTCCTAAAGATTAGAAAAGGAGGCACCTTACTTGGGGACACAAATTCAAGAAAATTTCCAGATTTGAAAGATTGTTTTTTTATTTTAAACTATCCTTCATCCAAAGAAAATATCACTCTCACATAAAGCAAGGCTTCACGATGAACACCAAATTGGTAAATATTAGAATAGAGTTAGGAAAGGTAACTGGATAATTCATCTCCCCCCAGCTGTTCCCCCCCCCCCCCCCCCCCCCCCCCCGAAAAAAAAGCTGATTTCTTTCAAGGGCTTGAATATTTTAGGAAAAAGCTATTCTATGTGCCTGAATTATTTTGATAATTAGTTCAACAATTTATTTGATGTAACCAGATAAATTATAAGGTATTCAGACTTAAACAAACAAAAAACTGTTCTTCAAGCCAATGACTCACTTCTATGTCCTCACCCTTCCTTGTTATAACGTTTTAGAGTTCGGCTTCTTTCAAGAAATACAGAGTTAATTAGTGAAGATTTTTCTTTTTAAAATTCGTTTGCAAAAATGCTGTTTAATTTCTAGTGTCTCTGAAAATAAAGATTTTTAAAAATTTCTAGTTGCCATCATTAAAATTTGACTACTTTTCTATTCTTTTGTATTAAGAAAGTCTGAACAGGGGTGAGGAAGGTGAGAAACATATATCCTTTTATAGAACTAAATTGACTTGGAATCAAAACGTAAGTAGTTCTAGATCTTAGACCAAAGCATCACATACGAAGATATTTTGCCATTCTTCTAGACAAAAGGTAGAAAAAGCTTTAACATAAAGGACAAAATCCTATCAGTAATATGCTTGGATTCTAGCCAAAATAAAATTCCTAAAAGCTATTTCCTTAAAAAAATAAAACTACTCCTTTATTTTTATTGATATTATCTCTAACATTTCAGTGGTGAAGAACTTCAATAAAAAAGATGGAGCTTTTCTGTCCCATACTTCAAAATTCACTTACTTGATTCACTGTACCTTAACAGAAGTTTCAAACATTCTAACAAATGATAATAAAAGTTTAGATTTGTATCTACAAATTAAAATTTTCAATTACCTGAGTTTTCTATCCAGAAGCATGCATAAGTTTCCCCTGTTACGTGAAAAATCGAAGAATATTTTAAGCTGTGGGATAAAAAATATCATGCAATGCAGGAGATTTTTAAGATCTTTAACAAAATTCTTATCTAATACAATGAGATTCCAGTCAAGTTTTTATATAGTTTGTGTGTTATCTATAAAATTTGAAAGTTCAAGAATTACTTCTTGGCTTAAAAAAAAAAATCTTGTTTTCTTTGATAGTAGTTCAAACAAAAGATTTACTTGCAAAAATAAGTATTTCAGCCAATTTAGTGTGAGCTATTATATAATTAGAGTGTCCACCTAATTCTTATCTTCTATATGACAAGTTTATTAAAGAAAAACTCCACCTGATTCCCTATTGATCTGGTAGCATAATTAACTAGAAATTTAAAACTAGTATCTTTTAACATTTTATACTTCTTAGATATTCCCTAGGGTACGCCTAGCACATAATGCTGGGCCCACAGCAATCCAGGGCATAATTGATTATCCAAAAGAAACAGATGTTTCCAAAAGTAAGTGAAACCACATTTTAAAAATGTGCTTATGGATCAGCCAGATGTCAAAGGAGGGATCAATTTTAATGGTTTCCAACATGATTATCTGACAAATTGATTATCTTTCTTATAAGCAGCATATAAACAAATGATTTTGCATCTCACTTATCAAATATGGCAATTGGTATAATTAACATTCTGTACTAGTTCTGCAAATTGTTTTAAAGTTACTACCAAATTGCATGTCAAAATATTGTTTTTATGAACATATCCATTAAGCTTAAGGTACTGCTCATTAAAAATTCGATGGTCAGATGATAAGGAGAACTCTCAACATCTTCAGGAAGCTTTAAGATATTTTTAACTAGTTACTACAGGAGACTAAAAAGTGGCTCCCCATCATCTTTTTTTAAGCTTGTAGCTGCTCAAGAAATTATTACATGGAGGCCTAATGTACATTTCCTTTCATGTGAAATGTTTGGCTGGTTAAAATAAAATGTGAGTTGCATGAATTAGATAGTTTCTTCAATTAAAAAATATAGGATTCTTAATTATATTTTTGCTTTATGATAAAATCTGTGGATTCCCATCCAAAGTCAAAATTTATACATGATGCATTTTAAATCTATTCCATTTCTATAGACTTTTAACCTTATAGGCCAAAATAAAAATGCATTTAATTTTGACAATAGTAATGTAAAATTACTATTTTCATGTTTATCTTTAGGATTGAAAGTTATGGACAATTAGAGAGTTCAGGATTTACGAAACCTGTCAAGTCAGTGCCTGGGCTTGCATGCAATTTAGGGCTCTCTATTGACAATTCCAAGGTAGTGCTATCTGCACCTGTGTTTTCAATTCCCCAGGTCAACCAACATTGTTTCTCACCCTGACAAATACCCACGAAGTAGAAAACCCAAGATCCCAAGAAGTAGGACCAGTTGTTTTAAGGGTATATGATTTAAATACATTTTTTTAAATTAAAACTTTGAGAATTAAAACCTGAGACCTTTCAAATTCTCCCAGAAACAAACAAAAAAAAGATGTATATAGCTAACCTTGAACAATTAAATGCCTGCTAATTCAATTGCCAAGAATTCCACTCATTAGCCAAGCAGTCTTCCAAATTAAGACATCCGGTCTCCTTCAATTTTCCACTTAAATCAGAACAGATTTGATCAATCAACTTAAGATAAAATTACACATGAAAAGTGACTTACATTGTGCATGGATTAGTAGTTGTAATGGTGTATCATGAAAAGTGTATGCTGCCACTTGAAGTTTCATGGATTTGTAGTTTCTAGGGAATAACCTCAACATTCTTGATCTGGATTATAGAAAATGGGTCGTATTTTTTTGTAATGTGCATTCATATTAAATGGCTAGAACACTTACACACATCCATTTGGCCACCTAAGGCATTCTAATAATTTCATAAACTCTGAACTTATATTAAAGATGCCATGTACTATACATACTTAGAACCTACATGATCGTAATACAAAACCACACACAGGAAATTCTCAGTTCATATAATTTATTGCAGTTAGCACACAGTTTAAAAATTCACCAACACACCAATAGTACAAAACTAAACAGCATTATAAGTTATTCCCCCCTCAGGAAAATAAAACATACTATGATTGTCAAAGCTAGATGTCAGTCTAAGTTTTAGAACAAAGGAAGAATGTGAAACTAAGAAAAGGAAAAAGCAATCACTCACGATGACCACAAAAAGAAAATCCAAAAGAAAGTCCGTTTTCTCACAGACATTGATTGTCTTCTCTAAATTAATAAAAATTATTTTAACATAAACTGTATTTAAAAAAACTAGAAACTCTTCAAGTAACTAAAGATAATGCTCCAAGGCCATTTTCACAGCTTTTTTTTGTTTGTTTGTTTGCTTTAAATGCCATTACAGCCAAATTAACACACATTTGACCAAATATTTCCAAAACAGTCCAGCAACACACAATGGAGTTTTCCATTCAGTATCTTAAGCACAAAAATAGGCTATGTTTACAGTAGTTAAGGCGATCAAATTTTAAACAAAAGCAATAAAAAAAAAAAAAAAAGGGAAAAACAGCAAACGTTTTCCATGCTACTCCCATAGACCTTATTTGTAAGTGCAAGACAGGAAAACAAACACTGTGCAAAATGCTTTTGCCCTGTGTGCTGGTCATTAAAACCACACGTTGGGCTGCAGCCTCTGCTGCCGATACACATAGTCTACTAACCCCCTTCCCCATGTCAATCAAGGCAGTCCAGTCCTTTCAGCCTGGGGCTTTTTCAGTCCATAGAATCTTTTCATGAGTTTGGGGGGGGTGGGGGTGAGAAGGGAGGGAGGGTAAGGAAGAAGGGGAGAAAAAGAAAAGAGGAGCAAAAAAACAGAGAAAATGACCTATTGTCAATTTGTGCAGTAGTTATTCTAAAAATGCTCAACTGGGTAAATGTGTACACCTAAACTTTGAGCTGGTATGGGTTTTGTGCAATTAGAAGTTTGTTATAAATGCACACTGCACATGCAAATCTTTAAGCCGTTTGTAAACATTTATATGTTCCTTGTTATGTAGCAAAGTTATCAATTTGCAGCTTAAGTTTTTATTCAGCTTAACAGTTCAACTTAAAGACAGTGGGAAAGTCAATTTAAATTATATAAAATAAAAAAAAAACAGTGCATTTACGATCTTCATAACACCAGTTTTTTTTCCAAATGGTGCTATTTTTCTAAGGAAATTAAATAATTTTAAACTCACTCGTTAAAGTTATACAATGCAAACAAAGACAAAAAATATATTGAACTCATGCATTTCTGTAGCGTTAATATTTACTTTTCAAGACTCAACTAAGAGCATCAACACAACCTGTCAAGTTCTTTGACATCCCCCCCAGCCCATGTAATCAATTACAGTATACAAGAACAGTAATTCACATTTTTAAACACACAGTTCAACACTGCTGAAGCTGCAATATCCTTTTTCATCCCAAGCAAACCTTCACAAAGACAGTATCCCAGTGATCCCAGTGTACTTGCAGAATTTCTCTCATTGGGAACCGTCAGAAAACCAGAAGTTGCCACAGAAAGTTTTAAGTCAACTGCTTGTTTAAAAATAGATAATCCAGCATTTCAGAAATTTTCCATTTGGGTCTAAAAGCATTCAGGTTTCCAACAGCCAGAAAAGATTCATGCAATTTGAGACATAGAGGCTAATAAAACTGGAGGGAATTTCTCTTTACTTTAAAAAACAAAAACAAAACAAAACAAAACAAATGTGGGGCACAAAAAGAGCTCAAAAGACAACACTGCGTTGACAAAATTAAGCCGTATGAAAGCATTTTTGTGATAGGACGATTTGTTTAGAAGTTTCTTATTGGCTTACTTTGTCTACCCCTCAAAGGAAAGACACCTCTCTATTCTCAGACTTGCTCTAAAAAGTTTCTTTTATCAGAATGCTAAATTAGTGAGATTCTCATGCTATTATTCTAAAGTGCAAAAACAAGTTAAGATCCCAACTTTTTAGTTCCAGGAAACAAGACTGCTTTTAGACCGTACCACAACTATATAGAGATCTATGTATATATATGTATATATATATATATATTATTTATATATATATATATATATAAAATTATTTCCAAAGTTCTTGAGAGCTATCTTCTAAGGTCCAGTCTCTGACAGTAGGCAAGCTCAGTGCTTCGCTTTTGACCGACAAGGAGTTCACCAACTCACAGTGGAACTTGCGAATGTGTCTGTACAGGTCTCCAGATTGTGTGAACCTGCGCTCACACCACTTGCAGGCATGCGGCTTCTCGCGGGTGTGCACCACAGCATGGCGGCTCAGGTTGTGCGAGTACTGGAAGCTCTTGCCGCACTGGGTGCATGTGTAGGGCTTCTCCCCCGAATGAGTCCTCTCGTGGCGCTTGAGGGTGTACATGCACGAGAAAGTCTTCCCACACAGAGAGCACGTGGGCACATTGACATCGGCGGCGGGCTTGCTGCGGATGCCATCCTGCTCACGAAAGTGAGTGCTCAGGTGGATCTGCAGAATGTGGGGACTGGGGAAGACTTTGTTGCACAGGGGGCACATGAAGATCTGGCCCGCAGGGCTCAGGATGTTGGAGACATAAGGGAGCAGACTGCTCTCCATGCCCCCTTCCACCTGGACACGCTCACTCTCTGGGGTCATCATTTCATCATCGCTGGCTTTGTCCTCCCGATCCAGTTCCCTCAAGACCGAGTCCTCCCTCAGAGGAGCCAGATGGGCCGGCTCATACTGTACCCTGTTATTAGTGCTCACACTTTCTTTCACAGTGCTATGTTCCATGTCATAGTCATTAGTGCCAACATCACTCTCATCACAGGAAGCCTCTTTCTCCACCTTCACCTGCACCAGGTTGCTTCTCAGCACGTCCTGTGAAGAGAAATAAGAGCTGTTCAGATTTTCAACTCCTGAAAGGCTGGACTTGACAGACAGGTCCAGCACACAGTCAACATCTGCCGAATCCCTCACGGAGGTGACAGACCTCTGGGACAAAGACTCTGTTGAGCTGCAGGGGCTGGCTACTGTTTTTCCAGCTGCTGTGGCGTGTGGCTCTGCCTCTCCGCCAGCCTGAGGGATGCCTGCTGAGTCTGAGGGCAATCGCATCCACATGTTCCCAGGCTCAGCCGCCAAGTCCCTTTTGCTGGGCAGGATGTTCAATTTTTCATCTTCTCCTTCATCTTCATCACTGGGCAAGTCGCCCGCCATGTGGCTGCTGCCATCAGAGAGGCTCTCAACTTTGTCTGAACAACTTGAAGCATCTTCTTCCTTTTTGGTGCTGTCTGCCTCAGTGGTAGCTTTCTCTTTCAGCTTCTTTTTACAGACTTTGACAATGTCATACATGTGGAGATAACTGGCAGCTGCTAGCACGTCTTCAATGGGCAAGTCTTTGAACTGGAGTTTCCCTTCATACATGAATTCAAGCAGGAGAGCGAAAGCCGGGGCTGTAACAATGTCGCTGTTCAGATGAACAATGTCTCTTTTGTCCAGCTGGTCCTTGTAAAAGAGGTGGAAATACATGCTGCATGAAGCCAGTACAGCTCGGTGGGCTCGGAACTGGGCATCTCCCACCAGAACAGTGCAGTCACAAAGAAAACCCTGGTGTCTCTGCTCGCTCAGACACTGCAGCAAATGTCTACTATGGTCTGGAAACTCCATACTGTCTTCATAACCTGGGAAAAGAGGAATTTCTCATTAGAGCATGGTCAGGAACAACTTTTCAGCACTCTTAGTCCCCACCAAAAAAAAAAAAAAAAAATTCTGCCTTGGCCGCCGAGGTACATGTCCCTGAATTTTAATCAGGCTTATGACCCAGAGACTACCAGATCACACACACAAGACCAAAATGCCAGAAGAAAAGCGTACACTTTCCGAACTTCCTTACCCTAGCCAAACGGCCTCTGATGCATCTCCACCTTCCCTGAACTTTGGTCAAGTTTTAAAAGCCTTCATTTAACCACAGCCTCTTAACTGGAAACAAGAATTTAGATCTCTTTCAAAAGAAACTTGACTAACTGTCTCATCAAAGTATGTCCCACAAAATCTACATGGTAACTTTAATTTCAAAGGGGAATAACTCACATAATAAACAAAGGAAAGTCCCAGATATATTCAGGAAGATTTAAGAAAACTTGTTCAACCATTCTTTTTACTGTATACTTTCGATACCTGACTGTACTTACAAGGCAGTTTGAATACACACATTTGGCTGAATCAAGAAAAAAAAAAATGAAATTGCATAATTAGTCCAGAAATTAGCAAACAACTTACTTTTAAAGTCAGAGTGTTACAACAACAAAAGCACTGTGTATAAAAACAGATGTTAATGCCTTAAGATTTGCAGGTATAGCACACATGTACGAGATCAGAAGGAACTACACCAACAGATGGAAAAGATCATCTTTACTATGAACAAATCCAAAGATTTTTTTTTTTTAAACAAATTGAGGGGGGGAGTTCTGTTTCTTTGTAGAACCTGTGCTTCAATGCTATTAGGAATCATAGGGGTTTTATTTAAATGTGAAAATTCTCATCTAAACTTTGGTCTGCTGCAAGACAAAACAAGTTCCATATTAAAAATTAATTCAAACTTTAAAAAATAAAGGCATATCACTCAAATGAAACCCCAAAGCTTTACAGGTTTAAACATTTTTTTTTTAAATTGGTTGACAAAAAAAAATTTTTTTTGGTAGCTCTGCCTCACCTTTGCTAACAGAAAATACTTTGTTTCAATATAATTTGATATATTTTGTTTTCCCACTAGCTTCTATTCACCTATGCATCTTTGGCTTTTTTTCTGGTGAGGGAGGGTGAGAGAGAGAGAAGACAGACAGAAAATGTACAAAGGGTCAAAATTCAACTGTGATGGACAAACTCTTTAAAAATAAAGAAAAATCTGACTTCCCCTTTCCTGTGACCAGACGAAGGCTCCATGCCATCCATCTAAGCAAGTGCATTTTGGGAATGGATGTGGATTAATTTAATATTCACAAATTACTTTCCTCCTCCTCCTATAGTTTGCTCAAGATAGACTAAAACTTTCATCCTAACCCCAGATACATTCTGCAAGATGCCACTGCTAGAATAAACCAAGATTTACAATACAATCACTTTAAGTGCCCCACAGCTAACATCAATCCTAATCCTTGAGAGGGCTAAAAATAAAGATTGGAGGGCAGCTCACAAGGTAGCCGTGATCAAATTAGGAGGCTGAGAGGACAGAGAGGGACGAAGAAGGAAGCTTATAAACATCTGATCCAGCTGACTGTGGCCATATGGCAGCTGCTGCCCAGATAAAGAGATTAAGAATAGAGGAGTGCGATTACAGCTGTCTGGCCAATTCAGGCAGCTCAAATCTACAAGTTCTAAATTAGTCGCTAACACAAAAACTCCTGCAAATAATTATTGTTATGCTGAAATAAAAGATCTCTTAAATATATATTTGAAAGAGAAATGAGGAAACCAAACTATTCTCCTGAGGACAAAAGTTTTTTTTTCCCCCCTTCTTCTTAAAAAACCTCCGGTTTCAAAAGCACTACAGCTGTATGTTTCAGTAGTGCTGCTGAATGTTTTGAAGAATAAAGTTTCACAGTGGAATTAATTACACAACAATCTAGCTTCTTAACTAGAATAATCTTCTCATATAAGTTTGAATGCTGAATTCCAGACAGTTTACTATTTCTGCCCCCCCCCAAGCAAAAGGAATCTAAAAGAGCAGTGAACAAAAAAGCATTTTAATCCAAAGTGATCTCAAAAGCAATATTTCAAAGCCTTTCTTAACATTTCAAAACTTGAAATATTTCAGTGTATTAAAGTTATTTACTTGCTCAAGTAAAAGGGATAAAAATTAACACTAAGCAAGCATAAGACTTTCAACTCCAGTAAGATCGTTACTTAATACTCAATTTCATATATTATTCCTAAATGGGTTAGAAAAGTAATGTGATCTTTTTACAATTAAATAAACAAAACACCAAAACAGAAATATGCTCAATCTAATCTCTTGCTACTCCTACCTTTAGGACACATAAACCTGATTAAGTCCTTTCCTCTGAGTCTTGCTGGCTCCAGGTCTGTTACATCGGTGGAAAAAAAGCAGACTAAGAGAGACAGATGCAAAGTGGAGATGATGTTAGAGAGGAATGAGATACCTTCTCCACCACAGATCCGCACACACTAACTCCCTGTCTGTGTGTTAGAATAAAAGGCTGAGGGATGGCAGGCTGTCAGCTGCTCTGACATCATGTTCAGATGGAAATGCTACCTCCAGCTGTGCTCCTTTTAATGCCATATGCTACTCCTCTACACTCCTGCCACCAGCTTTTTCTTAGGAGAACTTTTCTCTTCTGTTAGTATAAACAAAATACTTCAAAGTCTTCCTTTTTTTCTAAACTTTCTAACAGAAGAAATTGAAAAACTCAGCATATGGAGTTCTACTGTATTTATGGAATAGCAACACTTCTGTCTTAAGTTGGTGGACTGGCTTACATACTGACAGCACACTCAAGCCACGGTGCTATTCAGGAAATCCAGATTCACTTTTATTCAACTCCAACGTTTAGTTTCAAAGGCAGCTTAGGGATATTTTTAAACCAACCCATTTGACATCTCCAGTCCCATTTCAACATTATTACAGCATTTTTTTTCCTGCAGAGATAATGGTATATATCTCCGAAATGTTGGCAGACTTATTAAGAACTATTACTTCAGCCTGATTCACCTTATTATTTCATTCTTACTCAACAACTTATCTACAACTACCTTCTTAGGAAAATTTCTCACACTGCCACAGTTAATGCAAATTTCAATTCTCGGTATCAACAAAGCTGAAAGTGCACTTTCTGAAATCCTGGAAAGTATTTCAGTTCAATGAGAAAAATTAATAAACTAATGCAACCTGCTATAGTTACTTAAAATGAATGCTGCACCTACATATCTGATCTGTCTGCTCAGGAAAAGCAGAACCTTGTCTTCCCCTTGATCTCTGTCCCATAACAATCTTTTTATTTAGTTATTTTGGATCACTCTGTAATGTTCATGATCACAAGAAAACCTTTCAGGGGAGGGGGGGCGGAGAGGAACCTAAATCTCTTAAGTTGGGGAACTTTTTAGAGTTTGTGGGTCTTTTCTAGTGGCTGATGAAACTGTAATGTAACCCGGGCTGGGCTCAGCAAAGCTGGGCTGACCAGTGCCGTGCAAGGTGCTGCGACAATTATGAATGTCAAACACATCACAGACTCTTGGGAGGGTGAGGACTAGAAAAGGAACTGGGGCCTGAGGGGAGAGTGTCCCAGCCGCCCACCCCCACAGAGATAACCACATGGTTCTTCTTAGAAAACCATGGCAAAGAGTAGCAAAACCCAACACTCTCTCTTGTCCTCCCTTTCCCAAAGTCACAAACCTAACTTTCCCTAACTTCGTGGTGAATGACATAATTATGAACGCTAAGTTCAGGAACTACTCTTTGGAGATAAATTCCTTCCCAGCTACACAACCTACTCTCCACAAATGCCCTTGCCCCATTCCAATATATCAGGCATTAATCACCCCATTTACCCAGTGGGGTGGGGGGTGAGTGACAGTTTAATGAGCCCCAAGCACCGCAATGGGCCAGGGACTCCCACTCCACAAATCAACCCCTTCACATCTCGCTACCGGAGGATCCATAGAGGTTTTGAGAGGTTGGTGTTTTGTTTTTCAAAGAGGTGGAGGCGGGGGTGCCGAGTGGGTAGTGGGGAAGAAATGCAAATCTTTACGTAGTTCTCTGTGCAAGGTACACGGGGAAAGAGGAAGGTTAAAACCACAGGGAAGGAGGTGGAAGGCGTAGAGCCGGTGCAGCAGGAAAACACCTTAAACAACAGCGGAGAAAACAGACCCGGGTCAAGGCAACAACAAAAGAAAAGTCGTAAGAAGAAGCCGAGAGGAGGAGGGTGGTTGCTACCGCTTCCCCGACGCCACCGCGCGCGAGCTCCCGGGGCCTCCCGGCAACTGCACCAGCCCAGGAGGGGCCCCCTCCCCCGCCGGACCCCTCCCCCCGGGCGCCACTGCAGCTGCACCGGTCCCCGGAGCCGCGGCCGTCCCGGGCGCCACTGCAGCTGCGGCGGCTCCCAAGCCCCCTCCCCCAGCCCGCCGCCCTCCGCACCCAAGAGGCGCCACCGCAGCTGCACCGGCCGGGAGCCCGCCCCGCGCCGCAGCTGCACCGGCCCGGGGGCGCGGCGCGGAGACGGCAAGCCCGCACCCCGCCCGACCCCGCAGCTGCAGCGGCCCCGTCCCCGAGCCCGGGCCTCCCGCAGCTGCGCCGCCCCCCGCCGCCCCAACAGCTCCAACCACACAAACTAACTCCACTCACGGGGGCACCCCCGGCCCGGCCCGCCCTCCGCCCGCACTGCCCCGCCGGCCGGGGCCGCACAGCTGCGCCCCCACCCGCCAGGGGCCAGGGGGCGGAGGGGGCGCTGGGTCAGGGGCCAGGGGCCGGCACCGGGACTCACACTCCGGCCCTAAGTCACCGCGTCCCCGCTGCCGCCGCGTCCTCCGCCTCCTCCTCCTCCTCCTCCTCCCGGCCGCCGCCGCCGCCGCCGCCGGACTTGGTGGGCTTCCTCCTCCTCTTGCCCCCCTCCCTCCCGGCCCCCCCACCCCCCAATCCCGGCTCCGTTGCCCGCTCCCCCCGCCCCTCCCTCCCGCCCACCCCGCTGGCAGCCGGAGGAGCGCGACGGAGCGAAGAGGGCCCCACTCTCAACGGCTCCCCATGGCAGCAGCCCAGCGGCGGCCGCAGCCTGCCAGACACAGCGAGGGAGCGAGCGAGGGAGCGAACGCGAGCCGCCGGGCGGGGGGGGGGGGGGGGGCAAGGGGGGGCGGGGGAGGGGAGGGGGCGGGAGGACGCACCACGCACGCACGCGGCGGCGCCGGCCAGATGTTCCCCTAGCCCGCCCCTCTCCTCCCCCGCCTCCCTCCCTCCTGCGATGGGCGTCTGCGATTGACCGAAAGCCGCAGGACTGGCGCTCCCCGCCCGCCCCCAGCCCGCAGACTCTCCCAATAGGAGGACGGCTTTTCAGGAGGGCGGAGGGGGCGGTGGGCAAGAGTTGGACTGACAGGGTATTCTAGCCAATAGGAGAGGCGATCCAGAGCTGCCGCCCGCTCGTGCCAATCACAGGCAAAGAGTATTGTGGTGGGCGGGGCTCTGGCGGGCGGGGGCCGGTAGCAAATCGGCACGGGGCGGAGTCCTCGGGCGCAGTGGCGGTGGCGGCAGCGGCGCCCCTCTGGGTGACTTGGCCGTGAGAAAGTGAAAGGAGCCCGCAGGCGGCAGCGACAGCTGCGCTGGGAGGGGCTTGTTTCCAGGCTCCGAGGCCCTGCGCGCTCTGGGGGATAGGCGCAAGCTTTTCGTGTGCACCGTGACGACCATAAATGTACTTTAAAACGCACTAGTGCTTAGCTGCTCTACTAAGTTATGCAGGTATCCTCGGGAGACAGGACACCCGGGGACACAGAAGACTGGAGTCAGTCCTCTGCCTCCTCCTGCTTGGTCCTCGCCTGGAGAGTAGTGCTAAGGAACGTTCTTGCTCTTTCTTGGGTGTCCCGCGTCCAGGTGCATCTGGTGCGCTGGGGACGCGAGCAGCTCTCAGAGGCACAGTTTCTGGGCGTCCTGCTCTTGACGTCGTTAAGTTACAGGCAGAGCAGAGCGCCTGCCCGCATTTGTCCAAGAACCTTCGTGTCCCATCTGTACTTACAATGCTACAAGTTAAGTTATTCCCAAGTGACCAAATTTTAGAGCATTACAGTAAAATTGGTACTTGTAGATGTTTCAGCCTGGTTCGTTAATTGGTATGTAACAAGCCACAACTTTTGAACTACCTAAGGAAGATATAAGATTATTGTGTCGCTTTTTGCCTCCCTTTAAATAAACTTTTTCTTGTACCTGTTCTTTGCAGTTAAACTGTGTTAATCACTGCCACAATCACGAAGAAATGTAGACATTTCTGCTCTCAAGAAATTGGAAATCTTGTTCAGATTACGAGAAAAAAAACTTACAAGTGGGGAAAATGGTTCAAGAAAATAAAAGAGAAAACGCATAGTGAGGAAGTCAATACACTAGATATAGATATTGTCTTAATGAAATGTGTTTGTTCTTTGCTAGCTGAATCAGGACTGGCAAGCCTGTTGCTAACCAACTTGCCAGGAGACCTTTCAACTGGGCAAAATGTGCTTTCACTTTGTTCCAGGTCAAATGGGTAAAGTAAGTTGAAAGTATTGTGTTGGCAAATCAGACATGTTGAATTGCTAATGAAGTGAAAAGGGGAGCCCATGAAATTCCTGAAGCTGAAATAACATTGGAATATCCTATTAGAAACACTAGTGGTGTTCTCTACTTTTTCCTTAATCTTCTGTGTCCTGGTGAATGATCATGAGATCAAGGCTAGCCTATGATAACTAGAGTTTTTTTTAATTCCATGAAGTCTATTGTTGTATCCATGCTTTTGATGAATTCTAGGGCTTTCCAGTCTTTTGTTAGAAGGCCTAATTTCAGTTTGACATGTTTCAAATTAGAGAAATATATAAATGCTCTCTGAAAAAAAAAAAAACTGGGGCTGTTGGGGGGAGACAGATGTAAGGAGAAATACATGTTTCACCACCACATTGAAGGAGTGGGGGAGAGGAAAAAGAAATGATTGCATTCTCAAAACTATTTCTCAACGATTAAAAGTTAAAAATAAGGAAAGGGACACATCCTTGGATAAATAGACACAAAGTAATTGATAATGTTAGAATAATAAACAACAAATTCATGAGAAAATTAGAACATTCAGATTATCCACAAAAATCTTAAGACACTTGGCTCTTTGGCATCCAGAGCAACATCACAGCTCTAACAAAAGGTTTTATAGAATGAACCTACAAGTTGAATAATAGCCCCAGAGATATGCAGGCAGAGACACTGATATATCAAAAGTGGTGACCATTGTTTTTCCTTTTTCTCTTAACAGTCATTACTAGAATCCATTTTGTAAGCTAAATAGTGTGGCCAGGAAATATAGATCAAATGTATATTTAAGGAAGCCAATATGATGCCCCTCAACTGCTACAACAATCTTATTCAGTCTCCAGTTTTCTCTGTCCTCTTTTACTCCCTGACGTAATTTAAACTATCTTATAAACTTACTGTGCAAGTGATACTTTTAATCCTGTTTGGAAAATCATCAGCATGCAGATTATAAACAAAATACAACTAGTATCAGAGGTGTCATAATACAGAATGATTACTATTTTTATTCAGAATGATTACTAGTTTTATTCAGCATCCATTGGAACCTTGGAAAGTAAAAGGTCAGAATCTAAATATCCCCCTTAAGTAAGCTCCTCGAAGTAGGGCCTATTGACCTCTATACTATTGGTTTAGCAAATTAACCATAATCCAAAGCTACTTGAATTGGTTGATGTTTGTTTTTAGAGTTAATAATCTACCTTTTTTTCACCCTTCACACAATGGGGCAAAAAAGTACAAAAGTACTGACAGTAAGTTACTGGAAAAATGTACCATTTCTTTCTTTCAGTGAGAATCTCATTCCTATATAATTCCAATTAATTCATACTTTTTTGGGAGTCCTAAAATTTAAAATGATACAAGAGAATCTAACCATTCAATGCTTAGATTTCTTGCCAGGGAGCAAGTTTTATGATTTAACTACATTCATTTTGACCAATAACAATTTAACAGTATAAAATTTTGAGAGACCAAATAAAATTTAATTTGATGAACAACTCCATAAAATAAATGCCTGACTTTTAAATGTAAACCACAAATCAAGCCTTTGAAACATATCTGTGTTTTCATTACACTTTACACATCAGATCATGTTGGAAAAGTAGTCATTTATGAAATTAATTTTTGAATATTGACTTTTTATAAACTTCACGTATAATTGAAAATTTTTCCTAAAAAATTAGAGAGGTAGAAAACAATGTAAGACCAGATACTCCGAAGTATAGTGTTTATAACAAGTATAAATGAAACAAAATGTGAGTAAATGAGGTTGCCCTGTTGCCTAGGCTAGCCTTGAACCCTGTCTCAGCCTCCCAAATAGCTGGAAGTAGTTGGGAATAACCACCATGCCTAGCTCTGCTTTTTAATCTGTATGGGAAAAAATACACTAAAATAAAAAGTTTGTTCAAACTTCTTTTAAGCCTACTCGCTTTCCATACCACAGCATAGCATAACATGAAATTCTGTCAACTTATTTAGATATCTTTCTCTCTCCTGGTCTAAAGGAAGAAAGAGGCACAGAAACACAGCTGTGACACTGAAAGAGTAAATGAACAAACAAGAACACAGACACTACAATAATGAAATGAACAAGAGCCTATTTCCTACAGTAAGGTATATACATAATATTGAAAAGCACGTTATATTCCATGGGTTATAAATTCTGTGGTACTCAAAGCTATTGATTAAATTCCTGAACTATGATAAGCCTTATGTTGGAGATAATTCTGCTTGATTTTTAGCCCTGAAAATAGAAATAATATCACAAATTCTTGAGGAAAGGTCCTCAAATTTTACACAGATATTAGGAACTACCCCTGTACTGAAACAGAATGAGCCTACAACAGTAATTCGAACCTGTTGAGGGTTAAGGGCGAAGAGGAGCAAAAGATAGTCTTCCCAGAACTGTTTTTCCTGTGTAGCCAGTTTTCGGTTGCTTACTGTAAATCAGTGCTTTTATAGACAGTGTAATGGCTAAAGGAGGCCAATAGTTCAGGCTTGGTTGAAGACTGACCACGTCAGAGAATTTAGAAAAATGCAAAGATGTATATCAGTAGCTGTTCAATCCACACTTTTTTTTTTCTTAGAGCTGCCCCCACCTCTGAGCCCCATAAAATGCATTGTACCTTTGGCATGTGGAAGTTAAGAAATGCATACAATGGTGCTTTTTATAGTTAGATATGTACTATCAGTATATTCATCATTCACACTCGAAGG